CAGATCGTCGCTCCATCGAGCCAGGGGGCGTCCCACACTATGTTTACCTAAACGCGGTCTCCACTCTACGACAAGCCTACTCCAACGATTATCGCTTTTGCGACAAATGTGATCAGCCCATTGCCACTTCAGCCTGCAAATACGGAAGGCTACGTCGGTAACCTTTTTTTAATACCATTGTTTAATAGTTAGGAGTTTATCTTCTACACACGTGGCATACACGAATGCCGCATAGCGGCGGCGTAGGAAAATCCAATATCCTATATCATCGGTTGGTGAATCTTCCTGATTACATTTATACGTGGTAGAGCCACGCTGCAGCTATATTATGATTGTAGCACGAATGCGTCGGTTCGACCAGGGAAGGACCACGCTTTCACAGAATACCAGCGTAAAATAGCAGCTTAATACTGTTGTGTTTCGTATGATGAGTGCAGAGATCCGGAGACCCTTTTTACTACAAACGAGGCACTCCAACTTAGTCCTCAGGGGTGACAACGCATGTGCGTTTTGGTTCTTGATCGAGGATAAAAGTAGATGTCTATGGGGAACAGCATCCACTTACCATCAGGTAGACTGTGTGCTTGTTTGTCACCCTTATTCTATAAAAGAAAAACTGGGTTGCCAACCCGCATTCCGAGGGTGACAACTATACTAAGTGTAATTGTAATAAAAAAAAAAAAAAAAAAAAAAAAAAAAAGTATAAAATTAAACGAGCAATTCTTGTATATATATATATATATATATATATATATATATATATATATATATATATATATATATATACATATATATATAATCGGAATCTCGGAAACGGCTCCAACGAGTTTCATAAAATTTTGTGCGCAGAGAGTTTCGGGGGGCAATATCGTTAGAATAAGAAGGTAAATTTTGACAGTTTATTAATGATTACAAATAGCTTAATTGGTATATTGGGCGTTCACAAAATCGTAATACCATGGTTCGAGCCCAGACCGACTGACCGATTTTTTTTTAATTTTTTTTTTCAAGTTCCTTTCTTTTTTGAGAAAATCTATTTTTTCGAGCCCTTGTTTTAGTATTTTTTAAAAACACGAAAATTTTAATTAAACTTATGATTTTTTATTCAAATAACCAGTTCAGTTTTTTCTATTATGTTGCTGAGATCAAAAAATATTATTCGTATTTCATCAGTATGTAATTTGTATCTAAATATAATTTCCAAAACACACGAATTAAAAAAACCGAGCGAAAAATACCGAGCAAAGCTCGGTCAACCGAGTACTATGCATTATGAGGCATGTTGTTGGGGGTCTACATTCAGCAGTGGAGACCAGAGGTACACATACATAATATTTTATCATCGACGACACACTCACAAAATACACCTTTATTTAATAGAATAAGGGTGACACATGAGCAAATAGTCCACCTGATGGTAAGTGGATGCTGTGGCCCATAGACATCTACATACATTTATCCTCGATTAAGAATCAAAATGCAAATGCGTTGTCACCCCTGAGGAATAAGATGGAACGCCTCTTTTCCACTGTAAAAGGGTCTCCGAGTCTCTACACTCACCATACGAAACCCAGCAGTATGAAGCTGCTATTTTACGCTGGTATTCTCTGAGAGCGTGGTCCTTCCCCGGTCTAGCCGACCAATTTGTGCTACAACTATAATATAGCCGCAGCGTGGCTCTACCACATATAAAATAGATACTTGTTAACTGCTTAATCGAATCTTGTACAAGTGAAATAACATAGATATAGAAGCTGTTGCCTGTAAATATAGAAGCATCCATGAGTGATAAATATGGAAGATTTCGGTCAAGAATATTAATATGTATTTTACACACATACATTTCACATGAACAAACATCCAGCACTGGAACAATTCATTGTTTCCATATACATGTTTATTCCGTGCGGGATTCGAACACGCGGCCCTGCAACGCTACAAGCAAACACTCAACCACCGCGCTTCTAAGCCATCAAACATTTTAACATTTTAAAGTATAAAAAACTCTAGCGTATGGCGAAATATATGTATGCATCAAATCAGCATTTAAAACTAAAAAAAATATGTTGACTTCCGACATAGGTTTGAATCCAGGAACCATGACTCAGCTATTCCAACAAACCACTTGGTGGTCAAATTATTTAATAAAATTTTATCAAAACAGGATAAATACAAAAGACAGCAATCTTATCAGTGTTTTATCAGAAGCATGAAATCCAACTCAACAAACAATGGTGGAAAAACAAACTGTTTTTCTTGATAAGATAAGACCGCTTGCAAAAACGTACTTTGTTTTTAATTATATCTATCATATGCGTTTGTACTTAGCATGGATCTAAAAAATAAAATTGTCAAAAAAATATAACAATGTGAACACTAATATATACAAATTGCAAATATGTCCCCGCCGTATAGTGGTGGCGTAAGAAAATCCACTAACCCCACATCATCCCGTGGGTATCGTAAACGGCGATAGGAGGAAATGAAGCAGAAGATGTGCAGCAGGATCTACCTTCATAACAACTCAAAATACTAAGAAACTGCGGTTAACAACCCACCTGTCAAGTGCGGGAACTATGGTAAACATAAAATCCTTATGAGGCAATCTCCCATAGGGTGTTGCCACACCAATCAATCGATCATCGATCGATGCCACTGAGTAACGTTGATCGATTGGTGTGGTAGCTTAAGCTGATCAACGGATAATGGTCGATAAAATGACATTTTTTTAAACAAGTGGGGGCAAACGAGCATACGGTTCACCTGATGTTAAGTGACTACCGCCGCTCATGAACATCCGCAACACCAGGGGAATTGCAGGTGCGTTGCCAGACCTTCAGAAAGGAGTAAGCTCTTTTCTTGAACGTCCTCAGGTCGTATCGGTCCGGAAAAATCGCCGGTGGTAAACTATTCCACAGAGAGGTCGTACGCGGATGGAAACTCTTCGTGAAACTTACAGTGGTGGACGGCCAAGCATCTAGATGGTGTGGATGGTATCGGGAGGTTTGCCGCGTAGTGCGTTCACGAAATTTGGCGGCTGATATTAATTCAAACAATTCCTCAGAGCACTCCCCATGATAGATGCGACAAAATACGCAAAAAGATGCAACATCTCTTCGCAGCGCCAGTGAATCGAGCTGATCGCAAAGCACTCGGTCGTCGAAGATTCGAGCTGCTCTGCGCTGAATGCGGTCAAGTGGAAGGAGCTGGCACTGGGGAGCCCCAGCCCAGAGATGGGAACAGTATTCCATGTGCGGCCGAACCTGTGCCTTGTAAAGTTGCAGGTGGTGTACCGACATGAAATACTGTCCCGCTCTGCTGAGCACGCCAAGCATTTTAGAGGCTAATTTGGCCTTCTCTTCCAAGTGACCACGAAACTGCACGTCACTCGATGTCATCATGTCGACGCCGAGGATTCCAATACTGGCTGAGGCAACAAGGGGAGTGCCTTAAAACTGAGGGGATACGACAAAGGGGTTCTTTTTAGCGGTTAACGCGCAAACTTGTGTCTTCTGAGGGTTAAGCTGGACTAGATTTAGTCGCCCCCAATCCGAGACTTCGTTCAGCAAAGACTCGACTTCAGACACAAGTTCATCCGGTACTCAGACGTTTTCCCGAGAAATATTGGCACGGCCGGTGTACAGAGCATCACCAGTACTGTCATCTGCATAGCAATGAATGTTGCCGGTTTGCAACATATCATTGATATGCAGAAGAAACAGCGTTGGTGATAGCACGCGGCCTTGTGGAACACCCGCATAATTAGGCTTGTAATCGGAGCTTGCACCGTCTACAACGACCTTGATGCTCCGATCTGCAAGAAAGCTGGTGATCCAATTGCACAATTTCTCGGAAAGCTTATAGGAAGGGGGCTTCGAAAGAAGCGCTTTGTGCCAAACCCGATCGCAGGCCTTCGCAATGTCCAAACTAACGGCCAATATCTCCCCCTTGGACTCTACTGTCGCCGCCCATCATCGCCATCAGCTGGTAATCCTCAAGGTCCTGAGCTGGCAGTTTACATGACTCCATTGTATTGGAGAACAAGGAGGTGATGGCGATGGGCCTGTAGTTGGACGGGTCTGAGAGGTCGCCTTTTTTAGGGATTAGGTGGACAAAAGCTGTCTTCCATGATTTTGTGACTACGCCTAGGGAGTAGGAGTACCGGAAAAGATGCGTTAAGACCGGTGCTAACTCTGGAGCACACAGCACAATAGTGGGGATACCATCAGGCCCACTCGATTTGTGGATATCCAGGCAGAGGACTGCTTTGCGAACCGAGCACTGTGTGAACCGCACCTCTGGCATGGTGCATTCACACCGCAGGATGATCGGCGGCGTACTTCCCCCGTCATCGAGAGTCGAGTTGGACGCAAAGAAAGATCCTAGCAGATTGGCTTTCTCCTCTACAGCATGGGCTAGTGAGTAATCCTTACTGTGCTGAGATGGCTGACAGAAATTCATATATATATATATATATATATATATATACATGGATGATTAATAATAAAGAACACTGATTCATTTAATTTTATTGTTATTTTATTAGAATTTAAGATTTTATTGTAAATGGTATCATAAAAGCATTGTTTTACTTTAAAAAAACTTATTGTGTTATATATATATATAATATATATATATATATATATATATATAACACAATAAGACGGAAAAATTAAGGGTATCCAGCCTTTTTATCAAAATGTCCGGCTAAGCTGGCCGGTCTGGCCGGCTTTTCGGTTTTAAAACCTGCAACCCTAGGTAAATGTGAATCAACAAAGTGTAAAGTATGATATCAATTAATCCTGCATTACATATTCTAAAAATGCAAGAAAACAAACATGGTTGTATTACTAAATAGAAAACTTTTAACATTAAGCTAATATAGGTATCAATGCAATAGACTATTTTTTTTTAATTTTTAGAGCTATTACCACAACATAGTATATAAGTCAGATAGAAGCCTCAAACTTACAAAAAAAAACAGTATTATAAACACTCACCCACAATACAATGCCTTGATGCCTTCCTGCTTAGATGTCTTCACAAAGCAATCCACCATGCCAGTGTAGCGTAGCTCCACATGACGTGGATCTATCTTTTGACCCTGGATTTGAAGGCGGGTCTTTGTTGTATCAATTGGAAATGTACCTAGCAATGATAATAATAAGCTAAAAATTAAATATATAAACCTGCTCTCTCTTTTATTATGTATTAGTATATCTCAGCATTATTTCTATATAATACTTAACTAATAGTTTATCATGACCAATATTTGTCAAAAGTTACTTAAATTAGATGATATCCACCAATATGTTTGGTGTTATACTATACTATAATGTAGCTTAAATTTATTGCTTGATATAATAAATTTGAGTATATCAAGGAACAGAGAAATATGTTCTAAAAAAATTCAATGTTTAATTGTATTTGTTAAATTTCTCTATTATATAAAGTTACATTTTACTTAAAAAACACAGTAAACAATAAAATAAACAGTGCGGCAAGTAATTCCGATATTTAGGTATAATTATTTTTGGAGCATAAAAATCTTACCAAACTCTGCCACGATCGAGGCCAAGCCGCCGTAAATAAATGGTCTCCAATCTCTATCTCCCATCACACGATATTATCAGCAACGTAAAATGTTTCAAAATATTCTTCTTATCCTTCTTCTATATGAGAATTGTTTACTAGACCGGTTCTTATCAAAAATTAGAACCTACCGCTGGATCCGTGCAAATTCAAGTTTTAATTCTGCGTTAAGAATATTTAGTAATAAAATTAAAATGAAAAAATTATAAGTGTCCGGACTCTTCAAAGTAATTTAACAAAAATTTAACACATAATTTTAATAGTCAGATGTAATTGTACTTAGATAATTCATAAAAAACCAGATTCTGGTTATCAATAGCAGACAAGCAGACCACAGAAACATAATAAACTCTAATGACAGATGTCAATGTCATCATGTCCATGGAGCGTAGACAGAGAACCGTAGACATGCGTAGACAGTTACGGTTCTCTGCGTAGACAGAGAGTACCTAGATCCATGAAGTTGGCACCCGGAAATAATTATTATAGATATTTATTATAAATATTTAGGAAGCTATTGCTGCCAACTAAAGAAAAAAGCGCTTTATGCGCCAGTGCTAGGGGTATTGCACTCAACAACTTTATAATTTGTGATTGCACTCTCGAGCTCGTACGCTGCGGCTGAGGTTATGGGATTATTTAATTATTTATTTACGATTTAATAAATAACATATGGATAAACTGATATCGGGTGCTGATTGCGCATGTGAAAATCTACAAATTTAAACATTTTAATTATTCTTTTACCATCATTTTTAAGCAAAAAAATAAAAATTTATTATTTCACAGCACAGCATAAGGTGGGTGAAATAATAAATTTAAATATCTAAGCAAATATTTGACGCGCAAACAAATAATTAGTACCGATAAACATCATTTTTTACGCGCAATCGATTTATACTAGTCGCATATTTAGTAATTATTTCCGGGTGCCAACTTCATGGACCTAGAGAACCTTCATGTTTCTCTGTCTACGCTTCATGTCTTTATTATCATAATAACCTACATGATCATGTCAGTGTAAATTTTTTAACTTAATTTGCTTTACGGCTCTGGGTACTAGCCCTTCTAAGCCTATCGTTTCTTTCAGAATCTCCATTTTATATATTATTTATTCACAATATGCTGATGCGTCACATTGCGAAGTTTTTGGGAGATTTTAACGACAGCTCAACCAAGCGGACTATTGATGACGACAGTCATTCAAGTTCATAAGGCGCCCAAGTGATCTAATTAACTTGAGGTTTATATCAACATCAAAGCACTTGTTTTGTCGTGTTTCCCTATAGTTCACACGCGCAGACACCTAATTCACAAAATCACATCACTTTTACGAATTAAAATCCACTTCAAACCATTATTCAGGCAAAATAACGTCAGTCCGTCATCGTCCAAGTTCCCGCCAAAACTCGAACACAATAAGACAACTCTGACAAAATAAGTGAAGCACTGAGATCGCTAAGTTGTCTCAATAAAAGCGGGCTGTTGTGCGCTATTTTGAAATTATTATTACTTTCAGAGAGAAAAGAACGAAATTATTATAATTTATTAATAAATAAATTATAAATCATGTTTTTTAAAATTTTAATTATTATTATAAATATAATAAACTACTACAAATATAAATTATTAATTATTATTGTTTGTAGTTTTCTCATCTGGTTGGATTCCATAAATATATAATTGTGAATGAAAATGATAAATATACGTAAATAACAATAATATAAAATAAATACTTTTTATAAACTTCACACATTCACCATCACTACGCAAAGGTTGTCTGGAAGAAATCACTTTCAGAGTGATAAGACCGCCTATTGTACATTATCATATTTAGTTTTAATTGTACTTGATGTTTTTGTATTGTGGGGTACAATAAAAAGTAAATAAATAATGAATAGAAACAAAAATAAATATTAAAATAAAAATAAAAATTATAATTAAAAATTAAAAAAAATGAATAAAAAAATAAAATACTTTCTGAATTTCCAGAACTGACTCGACTGGCAGGCGCTCATCGCACCCAAGCATCACACAGTACATCACATCCGTACAACGCCAGACCCTCCAGTATCGTGTACACCACGCAGACTCGCCAGTGGCGAAGCTTCCATTAAAGCCGAAAAGCCGGGCTTGCCTTATTAAACCTGAATCAATCAATAATATCAACTAATAAAATAACTTGTAAAATGTTTCAAGCTATTTCAAATTTCCCGCACACTGTTCGACACATGTCGACCGATGACCTCGTATTGTCTCGATACTGCTGCTGTCATAAAAAATTAGTTTTAATAGAGCTAATAGTTGTCTCCCTCGCTCGCGTGGGCTTTTTACGGGGCTTTCAAGAAGACGATCGCTCTCTTTCTAACCTATAGCAAAATATTCTATAATGAAATACAACTACGATTGTATATATAGCATTTAGTATAGAGATTTAAAGCCAGGCTTTTGGGAATAAATTTGTTAAAAGCGGAGGCGCGCGGGGAATACGTTTTCAAGTTCATTTCACGTTTCAATGTTTATTTACTCTGTGTGCTTATCTTAAGCGATTTAATATTACGAGTTCAAAATTTATGCTTTTTTAAAGATTTTTAATGAAAATGGAGGATAATAGTGTTCCTTGTGATGAATTGAAGTGTGTTAAAGTGATAATCGAAGAGGAAATCTTTAAACTTTGTTGAGATAATACACAAGGTTAGGAGTGTACTTCAGACTTCATCAATTATCGCAATTAAAAACAGTTATTGGTACAATTAAAACGTTCACCAACATTTTACGTGGACGTAATTAAATCTTTCCATAAGAAAGCGAGACGATTCCACTTATCTTATCTTATCTCTTATCCCTTAGAATGTAAATATTTTTTTTAATTTTGTACATAGTTTGTTTGCACTTTGTTCGTGTTTTACTTTTGTTCATGTATTGTATTGGATGTAAATATTTTTTTCTTTCGCTTAAACAAACCCAAATGGCTTTCTTCAAAGCCACCGAAGCTATGCAATTGCTGATATGTAATACAATCTATCTAGCAGTGGTATGCCTTCTGGGTGCTTTGTTAAACACGTCCTTGACAGCACTGAATATGAAACTGAAGCGTGAAGACAGATCATGATTGGTGTATTTTTATAAAACTGCTAAAAACAACAATATATATTTTTATCGATTTATATCTTGGGCTTGCCCTAGCTTGGAGCTCTAGCTTCGCCACTGAGACTCGCCCGGACAAGTTGAAAATTGCCCAGATTCAGTTTGAGGCAATGTTGGAAAATGAAAATGCTCGTCCTTACCAGAGCCCCTGGTCATCACCACTACACCGAGCTCCCAAAAAGGACAATGGTTGGCGACCATGTGGTGACTATCGCATGCTCAACGCCCGGACAGTGTAAGATAAGTACCCTATCCGACACACTTGACTTTGCCCAAAATTTATCTGGTTGCAATATTTTTCAACCACAGATCTGGTGAAGGCATATAACCGGATACCAATCTTAGAGGCGTACATTACCAAATCTGCTATTACGACACCGTTTGGACTCTTCAAGTTTCCAATATGACGTTTGGGTTGCGCGGAGCTAGTCAGATGTTCAAGAGGTTCGTTGATGGGATGAACCGTGGTCTAGATTTTTGTTACACATACCTTGACGATTTCCTTATATTTTCACACGACGAGGAAGAGTCGCATGAAGAGCACCTTCGTCAAATATTAGAGGATGAAGGATTATGGCATGGTCATTAACATCGCTAAATGTGTCTTTGGTGCGTCAGAGGTAACATATCTAGGCTACCACATCTCACAATATGGGACGAAAACTCTGGAATGTAAAGTTCAGGCTATAAAGGAGTACCCCGTCCCTAAAACAGCCAAACAGCTTAGGAGGTTCCTGGGCATGGTAAACTTTTATAGAAGGTTTATCCACCAAGCTGCCAAAATCCAAGCCTCCTTGAATGGCTTACTAACTGGCGCCGTTAAAGCATCGCATCCGGTCAATTAACATGGACACTCCTTGAAAACCTTCGAAGAGTGCAAGGAAAGTTTATCCAATGCAGCATTGTTGGCACATCCTGACCCAAAGGCAAAGGTAGGTCTTGTTACTGACGCTGCTGATCTTGCAATCGGTGGATTCTTGCAAAAGCCAATAGGTGGTGATTGGCAACCCCTAGCCTTTTTCTTTCGTAAATTGCCATGGAAATACTCACCATACGATAGGGAGCTTCTTGCTGTTTACGCGAGCATCAAATACTTCAGACATTGGCTGGAGGCAACACCATTTACGATCTATACTGACCATAAGGGCAATTTAGACATCTAAACTACATATCACAGTTCTCGACGGACATACAACACATTTCCGGGAAAGAAAATGTCATTTCTGACACGCTTTCCTGGAATAATACTAGTTTTTACGGAATTTATCGCGTATATTTAACTTTTTAAATACCCGACATTTCAAACGCTTTACAGCACTCATGGTCACGGGCGGGACGGAGATGTTCAACTTCCAGATGTCATAGTTAACCGCGGTTACCATAGATTAAAATTTAACTTTTGTTCCGATCTACACAGTATGAGCTTATGGTATCTTGAAGTCTTGCAGTTGTATGCTTGGATTGGGATTTAATTTTATTTATTATAGGATTCCAAGCAGATGGTAGCACCCAGCCATCTCCTCTATTGAAATTAGAATGTTTTTTGATTTCAATAGCCTCGCGAATCACCCTTGGAAGAAATCGGTGTTCTTTAGCGAGGATTTGTGGTCTATCAAATCTGATGTAGTGACGGGGGCGATCCTGTACGTGTTCACAGACTGCAGACTTCTCGGAGCGTCGATTCTTCACATCAGCTATATGTTCTTTAACGCGGGTTTTTATTGATCTTTTAGTTTGTCCTATGTAGGAGAGACCACATTCACAATCAAGCTTGTACACTCCTGCATCTTGCAGAGGGATATTACACTTGACTGATGGTAAAAACTGACCAATCTTCTTCAGCGGCTAGAAGTATGTTTTGATGGAAGCGCGCTTCAA